TCCCCTTAAACAACATCCAGCTTGCATTATTCAATCCAAAGTGAATCGATTCGCCTTGCAGCCAAAGGTTCTAGTCCAGTTTGATGCTGCACTTCAAACTCACTCAAGTGGGTAAATGGATTTCTTTTGGAGCTTTTAATTAGAACTGTGTACGTACCATTTCGATCCCGAGTGTAGCTGAGCCGTAGTGAGGCGCCATCTAGCGTCTATATTAGCGCTCATTACAAATTAATTAATCATGTGCTATGACAGCAATTTAAATGTGAATAGAGTCGCCTAGCCCGCACATATTTCACATGCCCCACAACTGAGTCACCGCAGAGGGACGCACTATGTCAGCTCGTACCCCCAGCCCCCTCTGACGCACCGCAGGCTCCCTAGTATGATTCCCAAGCTCCCTCTGGCTTTCCGCTTACACACATTTTCCATAAAAAGTCACTTGCTGGGCGCCCAGTGGAGCGACCGAGCATTATGGCTCGTTGTCGTTAGTCATCTGCCGCTAGTAACACCATGGCTATGCCTCCCTCTACAGCCCCCCCTCCGGCATCATGCGCTGGCAGTCAACCCTTCGGGCGGACACAACCTACGCCACTTAATTGCGTCTGCTCATTTAGTAATAAAAGCAGGATTCATGCTTGGCAACCAAATGGGAGCTGCCACAAAAATTGGAATGCCGTGCCGACTGCCTAGAAAGTGGGGGCGGGCTAGAGGGATGTTCGCAAGTAGACAGGCTGTTTAATAGCTCACTCACTCAACCACCCATCCACCCACTCAGTCAGTCCCAGTACAACTGGATAACAGAGCGAACGAGTGCATTGAATAGTTTTTCCTCACAATTTTCCCATTTTTCATTTGCGTTTCCGACTATTTGATGTCTTTGAATGGGCATGATTATTTCCATCCTTGGCATTGCCGAACGTGTCCCCCGACAAAAACGCATTAAAAATTTAAATCTAAATTTGTATTCAAATGCTTGGGGGATGTGGCAAGTGCATTCAAGCATAACCGAAGATAAGTATATATAATATATTCATTTCTCAACTCATTCATCTTTTATGTGTTTTTCTCTATTCTTTCTTCTTTTTTTTTTTTTTTTTTTTTTTTTTTTTTGGGAAATTGTCTATTTTATATTTTGTTTTTAGTTACCCTATGAATTCATAAAAGTTGGGCATATTGTCTGTATACTAGTTGAATCTAGCATTGGTGTAATTCTTTGTTTGCTTTAAAGCAATAATATATTGTAACTAATGTAAGATTATTTGTTATATGTATTATAAAGAAAGAATGCTAAAAAATAATTAGCTGAACCCATATTTAGTTCTGGCTATATGCTTCTATATGTTCTATATATACATATATAAACTAGGTATACTAAACTGTAATTATGCTTAACTTTACTTCAGCCAACTAGTTCTTACACTCCTACAGGGTATTTGTAAATCAAGCATTTCATTCTCAACCAGCATTCTCGTCTTCGTAGTTTCCCTAATCCGATTGTGCGTTCAGGCAAATTATTATCTAGGATTTTGGGTTTTGCAGTTAATGCAAGCAGCAGGCGACTCTGGCAGACGAGATTTATGTTAAGTGGGCAGACGACTCGTCGCTGGTAGCTAGTCAGGCATCTGGCAGCACTTAGTAGTCGCTGTAGCACAGCCATGAGCCCAGCTGCCACACCTACTCCATTTCTATCGTGGATTTTGGCTAGTAGTCAGCAATAAAAATGTCGTGGCGCAATAAAAATCGAATTGTTTCCAATTTTTGCAATATTTTATATATATTTTTTGTTGCGCCTGACAGTTGCAGCTGCGCTCAGCCGTAAAGCGTGTAACCCCCTTCAGTCCGCCCATCCTCAGCCTCCTCATCCGGCGCAGACCTAGGGCAAGTTGTTGGGTAGTCAACTTTATGTGACTGCGTTTATGAGACTCAACAGCTGCACAGGAATTTAGAGTCTTTTATATGCACACACACACACACACACACACACACACACACACACACACACAATACACGCATACATGCTTACACATTCACATTCAAGAAAATCTAATCAAATGGCGCAAATTGCCGGATTTGCTTGAACTGAGAGCGCAGATTTATTTTCATATCTAACATTCGTTTGCCACAAGCGACGCGACAGCTCCTGCTGCTAACTGAGATAAAGTCAACAAAGCTCCGCTGTCTCCGCTTTCCACTCGCCCTTTGCCCTCTTCTTCCTTTCTAACTTTCTATTGCTATTTGTTCTTTTGGCAGAGCTTCAGAAGTTTTCGCACGCCTAAATGCATCCAATGCCAACAGCAAATGCAAAACTTCTCCGACTTTAGTTCCGCATATGGTTATCACTCGGGCAAGTTTCTCGGCCAGTTGCTGGCATTTGCGTGTGGGTTCCATGGTTAAGCCGAAAGGAAAACAAAAAATTAAGCGCTGCACTAGTCTGTTTCCATTGGTTTTTCTTTTTTCTTTCAATCGCCATCAAATTTTATGGCACAAGTTTTTGGCCAGAAACTGTAAACCGAAACTATTTGGTATTTGGGCCCAGTTAATGCCACGACTCGCGCCGCTCAGTCCTGGCCCCTGTTCAGCAAAAGTTGCCGACTTTGGCAAAGTGTTGCCATAAATACTTTAACTTTTGCCCCGCAAATAGTTTGCCCAGTTAGTTAGTTTGCATGCGAGAACAGCCATGGCTTTTAGCCTCGAGTAGAAGCCATTAAGCTGTTTGAAAAGAAATTTTCAATTGTTTTTATACAGATTTTCATATTAAATGGAAGTTTGCTGCTTAACTTTTATTTTAAAGTATATATGAGCTTAAAAGTCTGTAATGCTATGAATAATACTAGAAAATTTATATAGTAGAATATGTTGCCGAATTCAGCTGAATTATTTATATACAGATCTTTACATTTACCTAAGAGTATATAAATAAGTGGTTATGAAGCTCTAATGCTGTAAACAATGCTATAAAAGATATATAATATACATATATATAAATATATAATATAGTTTCGAATTATTTTTTACTAATACAAGTGTATATGTGACTATAAATCTGTAATGCTATAAAGAATACCATAAAAGTAGGTAGTTTGGATTGTACAGATTTTAATGTATTGAAATTTTATTGTATTTTAAAATATTCAAATATATTGCGATTCTAGTAAAGTAAGGTTTAAATGATTTTTATAGTAAAGGAAAGGTGACTCCAGTTTATTCAAAATCATATACATATGTTGTATATAGAGTCTGTAATACTTTATATCAATTATATAGAAAAATTCAATACCTTACTATGCGATTCTCACAATTAAGAATTTAAGCTGCTTAAGAGGGAAATGTTAATATTTTTTTAGTATTTTATGAGTTTATGGGGCTTAGGCCCTTTATAGAGTATTTTCATGGTCGCTCTTATGTTTCTTTGCTCTTTTAAATATATGCTTAGCGTGACCATAATTCTGTTTATTCCTGTAACTGCCAACATGCATACGTATACGTGTGTCTGTGAGTGTGTGCGTGTGTATTGAAGGAGTCCTGCTCGTGTCAGGCATAAACTTTGGCATTCTATATGCGTAGCGTCCAATAACCTGAACTTCCGCTTGTTATTTTCGGCAGTCCATTTATTTTTAACATGTGGCAGCTGAGCTTAGTCTGCATTAGGCAGTTGCCAGCTGCCGCGACCAGGACGCGGCTGCCAGTGGATTGCGCTTGCATGGAGCTCCACGACATCTCAAGCATTGAACATTGGGCAATTGACCCATTTCTGTGTGGCGTCACCAACCGAAGTGCCAACTAATAATGCAATAGGTGAAGTGCGGCAATTGCCACTTGCCACTTGCCACACGGCCATGAGTGGCAGTCGGCATGCTTCCGGGTTTGCCTTTGTTATCAGTTCAGTTCAGTTCGGTTGTTGGTGACCAGCCCCGGAGGCAACTGCTCAGCTTGGCATGCGAATTGAAGTTGTAAGCCACATGTCCTGTTTTTCCATTGTCTCAGATGCCTTCTCTCTCCCTCTTTCTCCCTCTCTCTCTTTCTCTCTCTCTGTCTGGGCCGTTTTTTCATGACTGTCAGTCGCATTGCTTGGCAAGTGTTGTGTACCCTTAAACATATATACTCCAAGCACACTCCCTGCTTGAGCAAACCCTACCCAGTCTGAGCCCAACTCAGCTCAAGCATTGCTCGCATGCCTGGCTCAACTGCAGCACAGCCCAAGTGCTAAATGGACGCCAAAGTCTCTGCCCCAAATGGCTGCGTTTAATTACACAAGTTTTTGCGCCACTGCGCCTCATAATTTAGCAATGCGCTTGACAGTTCCTTGGCCCGGGGTCTCCGGACTCTTTGCAGCGACCAAGCGCTAGACCAACTCCTTAAGCACATGAGTTTATGAGTTATAACCAGTTGCACGTGAGGCGTCAGTCTGGCAAGGACTGTGTACAAAGGATCTAATTGAACTTAATGTGGCTTTAACATGAGAATAAGCCAACTTAATTTGTGATTGCCTTAACCCGTTATTATTCTACAGTTATTTTAGTTACTTATACAGAGCTCAACTGAGTTCCGATTAATTTTCCTAGCTATTTTCGAACTGGAATTCAAGCGCTTTGCTCGCTCTCTTTCCCTTGCGCAGTTTCCTCAGTTTTACGTCGTCTCCTAATCCTGCACATACGAAACCCACGCAAAAACCAATCCCCAGTTGAATGGAACTTTTTCCATTTGCCATTAACTTGATCCAACTGCTGCCAACTACTTAGCCAAGTCTCTGCCACTACACGGCACAGCTTTGGGAGCAGGTCATACGTAAGCATTAGTCCTGGCTAGAGGACGTTCCGTTTTACAACCGCAGCTTAAAGCAAATTTAATTGAATTTTCTAAAGACTTTTTGCTGCGCCATACGAGAACCGTCTGCAAAAGTTTTTCCCCTTTTTAGTGGAGGGGGTGGGGGTGGGGTTCACATCAAAGTCAAGCCATAGCCATTGCTAACCATGTCCTTTCTCACTCTTGATTACTTACAGGTGCGTGCTATGGAGCAGCGGCTCAGTGAATGGCCAAAGCCCCAAGCACAACAGCAACAACAACAACAGCAGCAGCAGCAGCAGCAACACTCGCAACAGGGCACGGCCACCAGCTCGCCCATACATCAACAGCAGCAACAGGCAATTGCCGCTGCAGCCTTGGCCGCTGCCTGCCAACAGAGCGTCACAGGCACAACAGGCGTGGCCGTAGGCGTGGGCGTGGGCGTGGGTGTTTGTCTGCCCAGCAACGAGGCGGAGAAGACAATTAACTCACTGGAGATACAAGTGGAGGAGCAACGACAGCTGCGCCTGCACGACGCACGCCAGATCGAGGCCAAGGCCGCCAAGATCAAAGAGTGGGTGAACAACAAGCTGCGCGATCTTGAGGAGCAAAATCAACTGTTGCGCGAACAGAACATCAAGTGCAACCAGCAGCTGGAGCTGCTCAAGAATCACATAGCCAATCAGTCGCAGCGCCACAGCATTGTCGGGCCGGTCAGGAATAGCCTGAGCCTGGACGTGCAGGACTTTGCGAGCACGCCGGAAACGCGACGACGCAGCGAGAGCCTCGACCCGCAGGAGATCATTAGCCGGCCATTGACCAGCTCCTATCCACATCATCAGCATCGACGCAATCTCTCCATGGAGCCGCAGGAGCTAGAGCGCAACCTGGTCGCGGCCGTTGACGGCCTCACCCTGGCGCCGCTGTCGAGCATCTCCAGCAAGGCGGCGCAGTCGGCGACGGCCAGCACACGGCCGGACAGCTCCGACACGGACACGGCGCACGACTATGCCGAGATCTATACGCCCTCGTGCGAGAAGCTGCCCGCCTGGATGAAGAATAATCCGGCGCTGATGGCAAGCGGCGGCAACTCGAGCACCACAACGACCACCACCAGCGAATTGGGCGTGCCCAGGCCGCCGACGCCGCCGCTGCATCGCTTCCCCAGCTGGGAGGCGAAGATCTATCAGGTGGCCAACGACGGACTCGCTGGCACCAGCACCGCCGAGAGCAATGCCAGCAATGAGCCGACGCCGGACGTGCAGGAGCACAGTTTGACCCTATCGAATGGACGTGGCACCGCCCCAAGGCATGGCCATGGCCATGGCCACGATGCGAACGGTACACTGGGCAGCAGCGGCACGCCGGGCACGCCCCAGCCGCCGACGCGACAGCAACAAACCGCCAGCGGCGGCTTCTGTGATATATCCGTGCCCGTCTATGCCACGGTGAAGGGGCGTGCCTCACAAATACGCTCGATGCCCTTCACGGGCGACTCGAGCGACGATTCCAGCGATGGCGAGGATCATGCCGTCATGCTGACACACAACTCGCACAACTCCTCCAGCACAGATAATACGGAGACCTCCACATCCGGCAGCGCGTCGAGTCCATCGAAGAGTCTGAAGACCTCCTCCAGCCTGAGCCCAGCCAAGCGCAGCGGCTCCGAGAGCCCCAAGAATGCCAAGGCGCGTGGTATGTACAGTCCAAGACCCACCCCTAGAGACATCTTCTTCTTCTCTCCTCGCACGCGCCCAGTAAAACCAGTAAAGCGTAAAGGTAGCGGTAGCGGTATCTGAACATTGAACCACTGCAACAGCAACACCAACAGCACTAACCCAACAACCACACACAAACTCCAACTCCAAACACTAACACACACAAGCTAATAACAATAATAAAAAAAAAAAAGAGTATGATTTTCCTTTTGATTAACAGCTCTGCATTTGCTTACATCATGTATTATTAAATTTTGAAGTATTTTACAACACTTCAAATATATTTAATTTATATTTATATTTATATATATATATTTTCCATCATTTTCTTTGATTGTATATTAAGTTACTTTATTTATTAATTTTATTTTTTATATGTCTATATATTTTTTTAGTTCCCTTGACTGTAAGTTTAGTTATTCATTTTTTTAATTTATTTTATTTATAAATGTATGTATATAAATTTTTATTTTTAAAATAAGCGTTGAGTTTATATCAAGCAATAACTTTGATGTTTTGATTTTTTTTTAATTTTTTTTATTTATTTTTTTTTTATTATTTTATTAATTTTGTAATTCTTTTGAATATATATTTAGTTATTTATTTATTTTAATTTAATTTATCATATTTATTTTATTTTTTTTTAATATGCGCTCTATTCATATCGTGGCAGTCGCTATTGATAATTTCCTTTCATTATATATTTATTTTTTATTTTACTATTTTTTATTTTCTTGATTTATTTATATATATGTATATGTATATATATAAATTTTGAGTCAATTTTTATTTCATTTGTTAATAAGTGTTGAATTCATATAATACAATTGTGGCATATTATGTAATTTGAAAGTACTTAAAATGATTCTATAGAATCCTGCTTCCATTGTGCTTCTCCTCCTATTCCTATATTCCTGAATCCTGTAGCATGAGTAGTTGCTTTGCTATTAGCTCTGCTCCAAGCCCAAGCCCCATATTTGAGTCTTTCCATAATCTACTTTGACAACTAATTTTCAATGGGTATTCTAACAAACTTTGAACTGGTTGCATCTCCTTCCTTGCGCCTCTCCCCTCACCTCCTTGTGTGGTGCTTCCTTATGTTATCATCAATGACCACTCTATTAACCACCATCATTTGCCATTCACCCGCCATTAACTACACACTCGCACACAAACTCGCACACACGCACACTCACTGTCACACACACACACCACAGTCCACACACGTTTAACCACACCACACCAGTCACAGCAACAACAACAAAAGCAACAGCAACAGCAACAACAACAGCAACAACAACAACACCATTATCAGCATCATCACACGCTGCCGCACCCGCAGGCGCCGGCATTGGCGCCCGTGCACAATGTACAGAGCACGCTGCCACGCCTACATACGCCCACAACTGGCGCGCAGCTGACGCAACTGCGCGTGAGCCCTCACATGCGTGGCACAGTAATTTCAGATCTTTCCTTTGAATCAGGCCTCTCCGACGACTACGCCCTGCCCCCCGATGCTGTCTCCGAATCGACCTGCATGGATGCCTCGATGCCGTCGCTGCTAATGCGTCAATCCTACGTGGACTCGCCGAGCAAGAAACTCGAATCGCTCGAGAAAGTGAGCATTGTGTGATTTCTTCTAATATCGGACATACCAAACAGTAACCATCTCTCTCTCTCTCTCTCTCAGATGGGTCACCTGGCCAAGCTGGGTGGCAAACTGAAGACATGGCGCAAGCGTTGGTTCGTCCTGAAGAACGGCACGCTCAACTACTGGAAGAGCCAGCACGATGTGCAGCGCAAGCCACAGGGCCAGATCCTGCTGGACGAGGCCTGTCGCATCAGCCGGGCAGAGGGTGCCTCTACCTTCGAGATAGATACGGGCAAAAAGGTCTACTACCTGACCGCCGACTCGCACGCCACCATGGACGACTGGATACGCGTGCTGCAGAACGTGCAGCGTCGCAATGCCACCAAATTGCTGCTCAGCCGGGACGATCAGAAGCCCACGGTGCAGGGCTGGGTGACCAAGGTGAAGAACGGCCATGCCAAGAAGTGCTGGTGCGTGCTCCTGGGCAAGATGTTCCTCTACTTCAAGGCACCCGCTGAGACGGTGAGTGTGGAGGCTGCAAAGGTGATCCTATCTAATCCCATATCATTCCCCACAGAATCCTTTGGGTCAAATAAATATGCGTGATGCACGCGTGGAGGAGGTCGAGCACGTGTCCGACTCCGACTCGGAGGAGCGCGAGGATGCCGCACAGGATCAGGCACGCCTCACCGTGGCCATCTACCCGGCCCATCAGGGCCCCACGTATCTGATTCTATCCGGCAAGCCGGAACGCGACAACTGGCTATATCATCTGACCGTCGTCTCGGGCGGCGGGCCCAGTGCGGGCACACAGTACGAGCAGCTGGTGCAGAAGCTCATGGAAACTGACGGTGATCCAAGTGAGTAATGCTTGCAGCTCCATCTGAGATCGAGTGTTTCATAAAGTCCTCCGTTTGTCACTCTGTAGACTGCGTGCTCTGGCGTCATCCCATATTGCTGCACACCAAAGATACGATCACAGCTCCCCTATCCTCCATGCACACGGAGACCATGCAGCCGGAGGCTATAAAGCTATTCAAGGTAAGCTCAACTGCCGATTCCCCCGATTCTCTGACCTTTGTAACTAATAAATCCCATTCTGCCCGCCACAGAGCATTCAGCTGTTTATGTCCGTGGCCGTCAATCAGCCGGGCATCGATTACCATGTGGTGCTCGCCCAAAATGCGCTGCAGCATTGCCTGGATATGCCGGAGCTGCAGACCGAAATGATCTGCATTCTGATAAAGCAAACCTCCCGACATATGGGCCAGAAACTAAGTGTCGGTGTCCAGGTAAACAAGAAACTGGGCAAGCAAACGCGCGTAAGTTTTTCAGTTGCAAAGCTTCTTATCATTCAAAAAGCTCTTTTAGTTGTACTCCCCATTCTCCCTTTAACTTTCTAACTTTCTAGTTTTCTTATAATTTCCGTAACATTCCCTCATCTAATCCCATTACTAACTTGTTGTGTACATGACTCGCACGTGGCTCCATCATTCCTATTCCGCATCGGAATAAAAGCTCTACGCTCGCGATTCGTTATGTTTCCCAAATTCTGAACTATCGCCACAGAAGAATTCAGCTCATGTACATATATCCCCCATCATGTTATATAACTTCATTCTAATTAAGAAAAGACTTCGAAAAGCTTCTCTCTTTAAAGCGTTACGTAACCAAAACAAAAAGTCTATCCAACTAGGTATCGTATGTGAAGTACTACCCAACTTTTGTAATCTACTGCTTTGTTTTTAATTGCTTATCAAAAAATTCATCGCTTTGGTACAACCATCAGCAACATTTGGCCAGCTACAAAAAGCTTTGCTTACATTTAAAAGCTTACGATCGAAATAATGAATAATCAATACGTTTAACCTACATACATACATACCTATAAGACATGCCTATTAACATTAACATTAACATAACATATACTTTAACATTCATATTAACTTTAACATACTCATTGACACACCTTAGCATTATTTCTTATATATCTCGTTTTCTGCATGTCTCTGATTGATATTTATCGATCCCAATTGTTGTTCGATTATTCTTGTCCTTTCCCCTCTTTGTGCATTGTTTTCGTTTATATTTCAAGTAGTTGAACAGACAATAAATTTCCCCCATAACTGTCATACTATATCTATACTCAACTATCTGTATGTGTACACATATCCACATACATGCTCAAGTACTTATACATATTTAGCTTTCAAGGCAAAGCCAACACCATGAAAATTGTTTCCATGTGTTTAGTTTGATCTAATTATTGTTGATTCGTTATCATTGTATAAAGTATTTGCTGTAAATTTCTAACATACTCTACAACATACTTTACAAACACACTTCACTCGAAAACCAACATACATACATACATACATACAAACATACATACATACAAATACATGAATACGTACTCTTTTCCAGAAAACAAGTTAGAAAACTGCATCTTCGGCTGCCCGAAGCTTTCAGACCCTTGTTGAATTTTGTCTGATCCTTTAACAATATAATAAATAATAGTCGATTGCTTTTAAATTTACGTATGAAAAACCTCTATGAGAAGGAATTTTCTTGAAGATCTTTGAGAAATTTAATTTTGAAAAACTATCAAACTTGTTTGTCTCAAATGACAAGCATTTAAAGTCTAAGCTAACTGGACATGCTATGTCCTTCACATATTTAAGCTACAAATATCATTCAAGGAAAACTCGAATACCCTCTCCTAGGCTTTGATTGGGAATCCACTCAATACAGACAAAATAAATAATATTTCAAACTTGTTCTCCCAGTATAGTTATAGACTACTGAGACTCCCTGTCTCCCTTCCCCCCTATATATGTCTCCCTCTCTCTCTCTCTCTTTCTCTCTCTTACTCTCTCTCTCTCTCTCTTTCCTACACAGACTCATTTAATCTCTCTGTATCGAATGCAGCTCGCTCATACGTGCTATCAACTTTGCCGATTAATGCATATCGATCGTGTGCTATCGATTCTTATCGAATCACGCTTAAGTTGGCCACGCATAAGCGCGCTCCACACTTTTAACTGCCTTCTACTCCCCTGATCTAAAGCGTTTTCTAACTCGTTTATGTTTCGCCCCTTTGTTCAATTTGTTCAGTTTACTGCTTTGATTATATTTTTTCAATGGCTTTGAATGTTTCGCATAGAGTTTATTCATTTCTGTTGCCCGTTACGCTTCTTACAAAAAAAAAAAAAAAAAAAAAAAAAACAACAACAAAGAGAACGACTTTTGTATAGCGTGAAATATATATACATTAAGGATACTCTGAAAAAAAAAAAAAAAAAATACACGGAAAAAGACACAAAAACTTCGTTTAATGGCAAACAAAAAATTGATCAGCAAATGTTTTTTGGCTTCTCTTCTATTCTTCTATTATGTTTCGTTTGTTTTTGGTTGTGAAACGATTTCCGTTTCGTTTGTATGTGTATCGAACCAATGTATCCATTACCGTTAACCGATAACCGCAAATACCGAAAATACCAACCGTTTTCCAACACTGTACGTAACCAATTATTGACGACAACGACGACGAAATTTACAGCAACTACTATTGTGCGCCACCCAAAGCCTGTTCACCTGTGATACCCAACAGGCTGGCCAGGCTCAGGCCAACGGCAGTTCGCCCACATCGATACAGGTATGAGGGGAAATTTGTCTTGTCACTCAATAATCGATATACGATAAATATGCGATAAACGATTTGTTAAACGATTGCTTTCAGTTACTGTAGTCAATTGTAGAGTTGCCTAACCCAGACATCTGCCTTATTTATGCACATCTCATTCAACTGATTCTCCACTTGCTCTTTCTCTCTCTGTTTCGCTATTCTACACTGGAGCAGGCTCCCGTCGCGACACCCATCATCGACTGCAAGTCAAATCCGCCCGCCTACAGCTTTGTTCAGGGCTGGCAGCTGCTCGCACTGGCCGTCTCTTTGTTTGTGCCCAAGTCCAGTCGCCTGCTGTGGTATCTCAAGCTGCACTTGTCCCGCAACGCGGACACCAAAACGGAAACTGGCAAATATGCCGCCTACTGCGAGCGCGCCCTGGAGCGCACCCTGAAGAATGGAGGGCGCGAGACGAAGCCATCGCGCATGGAGGTGCTATCCATATTGCTGAAGAATCCATATCATCACTCCCTGCCGCACGCCATACCCGTTCACATGATGAACGCCACGTATCAGGTAAGCAAGCAATATGAACTAGTTCGCCAATTCGGATCATTTTTGGATGGAGAACTATTTATGTGAACCAGTTCACTAGTGCATAAGTCTATCATGAGATAGCACTCTGTTTCGACAATAGTTTATAGAAACAACAACTCTTAATAGTTAAGGACCTCCTTGTGAACTTGTTCATAAGAACACTAGTTTACTTGCTGGTTAGCAGCAGTTACAACTCGTGATGTAAGAACTAGAGTTTAAGATCTTTGAACCAAATACTGAACAAGTTCATTTATCATCTTCAGGTGGTTTCCTTTGACGGCTCCACCACCATCGAGGAATTCCAAACAACGTTGGCCCAGGAGCTGGGCACCCGCGATGCCAACAACGGCTTCTGTCTGTTCAGCGATGATCCGATTGAAAAGGATCTGGAGCACTATCTGGAGCCGCTGGCCAAGCTGTGCGATGTGATCAGCAAATGGGAGACGGCGCTGCGTGAGAAGGGCTCCGGAAAGTTCGAGAACTCGCGCGTCATCCAGCTGAGCTACAAGAACCGGCTCTACTGGAAGCACACCATCAAGTGCGAGACGGACAAGGAGCGGCTGCTGCTCTGCTACCAGACCAATGCGCAGATCGTGCAGGGCCGGTTTCCGCTCTCGCGTGAGCTGGCCCTGGAGCTGGCCTCGCTGATGTCGCAGATCGACATGGGCGACTACTCGCACGAGAAGTCGCGCGACGTGGGCCTGAAGGCGCTGGACAAGTTCTATCCGTATCGCTACCGGGACGCCCTCGGCGCCGATCAGCTGAAGGATGTGCAGGAGCTACTCATATCCAAGTGGACGCTGCTCAAGGGCCGCTCGACGCTGGACTGTGTGCGCATCTATTTGACCTGCTGCCGCAAGTGGCCCTACTTCGGCGCCTGCCTGTTCCAGGCGAAGCCACGCCAGTGCGAGCCGCACACCGCCGCCGGCACGCCCGTCGCCTGGCTGGCCGTCGCCGAGGATGCGCTCAACGTGCTCGAGCTGTCGACGATGGCACCCGTGGCGCGCTATCCCTACAGCACGGTGATGACATTCGGTGGCTGCCAGGATGACTTCATGCTGGTCGTCTCGCACGACGACGGCACCCTGGCCGGCGGCTGCGAGCAGAAGCTGCTCTTCGCCATGAGCAAGCCGAAGATCTTGGAGATAACGCTGCTCATTGCGGACTACATGAATGCGCTGGGCCACACCGTGCCGGGCACACCGCAGATGAATTCGCTCACGCGCAACGGATCGCATCGCTCGCTGCGCACCTCCCAGCGACCGGGCGTCGGCGTTGGTGGCGTTGGCGGCGTCGCGGGGCTCACGGCAGTCGGCGCAGCTGGCAGCATCACAGGCTTCTCCACAAATGCCACCACCACGGCCCACAACACGCTCAACTCGCACGCCACCCACACGCTTAACTCCACGCACTCGCACACGCTCAGCAGCTCGCACCATGCGGGCGGTACTGGCGGTAGTGGCGGTGCCGGCACCGGTGGTGGCAGCCACCAGGGCACGCTCAACTCGCAGTCGGGTGGCGGCCATCATCAGCATCACCATCATCATCCGCATCAGCCGGATATACTGAAGAGCACGCCGGATCATCAGCGCATCAAGTGAGCCGCGCCCAGGGGCGGGGCGTGTACAGAAGTGCATAAATAAGACAGACAGAGGAGATGCATCTATAAGTAGATATATACAACATATAGTATATATATATGTATCTAGGTAACGCCGTGCTGTACTGTACTGTACTTTGCGCGCTTCTCAACACTAAACAAGAACGTTCTTTCCTAAGCTAAGCTAATAACGGTACTCGTACTCTAAAGCCCATACAAGCGTATATTGTAAACAGAACTTTTTTTTTTTTGAATAGCCTTAAGTCGTACCCCACGTCAGGTACAAGCATATACTATACATGCATATACATACACACATATGTATATGCATACATATATTCATTCTGTGTGTCTCTTCAACGAATTTTCTTTTGTGATTTTCTTTTGTACAGCAGTTTGTGCAAATCGCGTTTCAGCACCTTCTTCTTGTTCTATTCGTTTTCACTATTTTACTCTCTCACCTATGTATACTCGTATTGTACTATATACACACACCTTTATATATATACACACATATATATATATATATATATATATAGATATATCCGATATTCTTGCTAATTAATGCTTCGTCACGAATCTCACTTTGTCCCTCCATGCTCAAAAACTGCCTTTTGAATGTAGATGATGAAGAAGAAGATGTAGAGAACAAAACCAAGATAATGAAACAAGCCAAAAACAACAACAACAACAAGAACAAAATTAAGCTGAAATTGCAATAATTTGCATCAGGGTTTACCCTAGAGCAAAAGGGTTGAAGAATTAACAATTGTATAACCATATTTTGTATAGTGTTTTTCATGTCCAGACATAGGATACAATTTTTTTTTTTTTTTTTTTTTATTAAAATATTTTTTTTTCACAACTTTTTTTTTAAGATAAACGAAAGTGAGGAATTAGATAACGTAGAGCATAGGCATAGATGGCATAGAGACTAAACATTATCATTATGGCTTCTAGAGAGAGCACTTGATATATTAATGTTGTCTACATAGTTACGGTGCGAAGGGAAGTGTTTGTATTGAATATTTATATATATGTATATCATATCCATGTTTTATTTTTGAAATATCATCATTGTACGATTCCTAATTTGCATAATGTATTTTTGAAATCAGCTCATTTCACAGCAAAGTAGGTTTTTTATTCAAATGTTAACAAATCAAAAGAAATGAAATTAAATACAAATATTTATATAAGTAAAATAGTAAAAAACAAAACAACAAGAATAGCCAACCGAACACAGCCAGAGCTTCTAGTGACAAACAACATAAGAAACTTAAGCGAAAATAGAAATTCCAATTGATATACAACATAGAAACGTTCTTTTGTAATTTATACAAAGGAAACGTCCAAAGAAACAAGACACAAAATTTAATAATGAAAACGACAACAAACATTTATTGTATACAAAATATTGAGATTTATATATTGTAGTAAAAACCAATTTTCCTAGTAAGTTATACACTAACGCAATCAAAGAAAATACAAAATTGCCGTAAAACAATAAATTAACACCAAATAGCACTCCAGCTGCTGCTCCCTGTCGATTGGCCGTTTTTACTAAGTATTTGTCAAAGCACTTTCGAATATTGTTTCATGTTTTCTGTTTTGTTCTGTTCTGTTTCGAAAGAACTTATAATATATCATATATAGTATATACACGTACACACACACACACACACACATACACACACATTTATATATATACATATATTTAACGAATGAAAATTATACAAGCATTATATAACTGTGTAAATGGCAACAGCGCATTTTTTTCCTAATTGTAAAAATTTGATATTAAAAATTTATATGCAAAATCGCAAAAATAAAAACAAAAGCAAAATAACAAAAGGCGACATTCAACTAGTATATATAAATATACATGCATAAACATTTGTCAGCGCATATATGGCAAGGAATAGGCGAATATATCAACACTCCAAAACAAAGGAAATAAATATATATATATATATATAAAGGAAAAATTAATCATTAAAATCGAACTTGCAGTTTTAATCTCGGGAATGCGAATTGGTATGGGTAATATATGTATGAACTCAAATTGTTCAATAATTTGTTTGAAATTGCCTAATATAGTATTTTATTGATATCCATCATTAGTCATAGTGATGATTAGCATCATATACAAGCTATTTATACACACATTTGTTTGGGCTTACGATAATTTACAAAAGTTTCCTTTGCCTGTGGGCCGGCTCCATAAACAGATAAATACAGTATATAAAACTAATTTTGTCCATTACTCTCACTCTCCCTCCCTTTCTCTTTCTCGCTGCTGCATGCCAGATAATGATGTTAAGCAAGCCAATTAAATATATGAACAAGTGTCATAAACCGTAGTCAGTATATTATCGCCGTTTTATGGAGTTGTTGCTCGCCTCTCTTTGGGAGTGTGTGTGTGTGTATGTGTGTGTTTCAGTGTTCGCATGTGTATGTTTTGGAAATAAAAGGTAGTTTAAACCCACAACGCAAGGTATAAATTGAAGCAAGCAGCGGGGCAGCGTGTCAAAATTATGTGCCCCCCCATTCAGTGGTTATTATTATCTAGGTTGTTGTTGCTGCTGCAGCTGCTGCTCTTGTTGTTGTTGTACAAGTACTATATTAAATATTGAAATGTCTTTTGGCCTTTGAAACTAGCAGCACACTGTTGGCGCCACGGCTGCTCCGCTGCTCGTCGTCTATGACGTGTTGAAAGCAACGATGCCAGCGGCACACAACAACGATGAAAGCGTGCCGCCCGAACGAGCCATACATTCATTACATATTGACAACTAACATCTAGTGCGACTAACGTACGTACATATATTACAAAACCCAAAAGTAAAGTATAAACACTAGAAATAGAGTGCCCACGGCGGCCGCCTGGACGTACATTGATTTGCGATTTAATAATTTGGCATCCTTCTTATACTTCTGTGACATCATCGACAAGTTCTGTGTTTTAGTGTCCAGCTCTGCAAGCGATAAGCGCAAGGCATTAGAATTATTTAGTCGACTGATCGCATAGTTCTTTATACGCACCCGCCAAGACAGTGCCACGTTGCAGTACATCGTCAATGTTCTGGACCATTATACGCTGCACATCCTGCAGCTGTGTGTTAATGTTGCTTATATTGCGTCTGCGGTCTGTCAGTTGTTTTTTCGCCTTCTGTATGTACACGTCGAACTCGATGAAGGCGTAGGGGCGTGTCACCGAATTGACACGCCGGCCGTAGTTCGTATGAAACTCCTGTGCCAGATCCTCCAGATAGTTGAATGCCAAACGCTTCGAATACATTTTATCAACCATCACCAAGTAGCAAACATCGTTCTCGATAAGATAGCTGTGCGAGTGCGAGGTCAAGTCAAGGCGATTAAATCAAACGATGATTCAATGTTGGCAAATATTTCAACATTCGCAACTTACTGAAATAAATATGGTCCTGTTTCGATGCTGCTGCGCGCTGGCGAGTGTGTGCCCAGCTTGCGAAATAGCATTTTCGCTTGATTTTGATAATCCAAGATGCTACGACCGCTCTAATGCACAAAAAGTGAAAGTGTTATAGTTTTATAAAACTGTAAATGTGCATATACATGTGTGTGTGTGTGTGACGCACCTGCTCGTCGTCCTGCATGGTGCCCACCAGTGGCAGACCATCAATGACCCGGGCAATCATCGTCAGCAGCGCCATCGTTTAGCCTGTGTCCTTTGCTCTCTGCTCTCTGGGACTGGGGTAATATCAATTGGAAATGTTTGTGTGCGTGTGTGTGTGTGTGTGTGTGGGTCTATGTTGCTTAATGCGCGACTGTGGCCACGGCTACAGTTTAGTGCGGCTGGCTTTCCACTTCGTTTATTGTTGCCGCGGCCGCTACTCCCCACTTTTGGCCGCTGTGTCCGTTGGAATCAGTTGTTGTTTTTGTTGTTGCTTTCAAATTGGCAACTTTCATTTAGAGTCTGAAATACTGAAAACTGTGTGATTGTTGAAATAAGTAGCCCTGCACACTGTGCCCAAATTTCGTATCCTTACCCAAATGACTGTGATGCTATTTTGTTGGCGAAATCACGATTTCGTACATCGCCCGATATATTTATGGAACTATGTTGTGTGAGGGTAAATGAATTCGTGTTTTTGTATTTCTTGAAACACGTCAGCGGCTAGCGCTGGACCTGTCAAAGCACGATGCATCAACAACAATCGTTAAAGCGTGTATCGATGTGTGCGATAGTATCGATAGCTGGCCAGGCGCCTTTTTGATGTAGCTATCGAAATTTCAAATTTAAAGAAAATAAATACACATTATGCAATTCACATAAATGAATAAAATAGCTTAAATTTATACTTAATTTAGTGGACGAAACTTCGCGGCCAATACTTTATTGGATTTGGCCGTTAAGTTAATCACACAAAATCTGATTTAAAATGCTGACGTGACATGTGAAAAATGTTGAAATTGAAATTTCCCACAGTATTTTATCTATTAGTTTATGAAGAGCACTTCAATTTTTATTCTAGTTGATGAAGAGCACTTCAATAATTTTTTTTTTTATCAAAATAAAAGCCAAAGTCTACCATTTTATATAAATACACCGTTTATGTTTAGCTGTGTATGAAAGCATTTCATTATTTGCTATCTCGCTCTATTTAACAACGAATTCCGTGTTCATGTATCTCCTGTCTCTGTCGCACAATGCAAGTATAATAAATATACGAAGTTTGGGGCGGTTAACTTTATTAAATAAGTATATAATTGCATGCATAATCATAATATGTATGTAATAGGCTGTTGTGGTCTGCTTTTATTCAAAATCAGGCGGAATGCAGGCCGTGGCTCGGCCACCTCTTAAATAAGCTTGAAGTTCTTGTGCTGACTCCTGCTGTTGCTTATACTGCTGCTGATTAACTAGGCGGCCTGCACCGATTGCTTCTGTGAGGAGCTAATCTTATCGCCTAGGCTAAGTGCCATGCCCTGAAAGAAAAAGGAATCATTAAGGTGTGACAAATATGCTGGAGGAGCCACACTTGCCTGGCTCTTGGCGCGAATACGTATGTGGCCAGTTACTTTCGAGTCGGGATCATCGACAGGCTTCTCAATGCTCAGATTGGCAAGAGCGTTCTCTCCAAAGATGGACCTGTTAGAATGCGAATCGTTAGACTGGACAGCAACAGAGTGAATGGCAATGCGATTCGTACTTGGCATACATGTTGGCGGCCATGAAGCCGCATTGGCCGGAGAGCGCCTTCTCGGGCGTCAGGCACTTCATGTTGGTGCTCTTCAACAGGTGCTTGAGGTACTCGTGCAGATCGGTGAAGCTGGTGTTGACGGTTACCTTGTTCTCCCACTCAAAGTCCTGCCACATCTGACGGAACTCGGTGTCCGTGCAGCTGGCCGGAATGATATAATCCATGATGTCAATGTGTATGGTATTGAGTACCACGACGTTGGTGTTCAGCGCCGTGTCGTATACTGCACGATGTGGAATCAGTAATCAGTAAAGGACATAAATGAATCATTCCCACGTCACTTACCTATGTTGCCAAAGATGATGCCATTCTCTGTGGAGGATACCTTCACGTTGGCCTTGATGTTGCAGAAATCGTGAGGCGCCAGCACCACCGGATGCGGACGCTCCACCAGCTTCAGATCGCCCAATGTCGCCAACTCCAATGTGCAGTTCTGCAGCGTATCATCTGGAATATGGACAGATTATAGAAATCTGACCTTTGAAAGGTTTCAGTTAAAAGATCGACTCACTTGTCTGGTTCACAATCAACACGTCCAAGACGATGTCGTACTGGTTGACATTGACGTAGGCCTCGGCATAGACCGGATCGGAGAAGCCAGTTAGCTGGGTGACCTTGTTAAGCTTGTTGTTGGGCGAGGACATGTCGCTGATTTGGGCTGTCTTGGTGCCGGCCAATGCCTGATTCAAGCTGGATTCGAATACGTTCTCGCCCAACTGATTGTCGCGTCCGTTTGAGAGCTGGGCAAACAGCACCGGCGAATCGGGCTGCACCTTGGCCGTGGCGCGCTGCTTCTCCTTCAGCATGCGCTGGTCCTCCTCCGTTTGGGCATCCAGCATCTTGCTGAGTGCGTCGCGGCAGTCGTGCAAAAAGACGCCAACAGCCTCCGGTGTGCGCTCGCTAAGCGTGCGCAGGCAGAGCATGATGCGATCCGAATCATCGTATGTAATCGGCTTGGTGGGGAAGCCAGACTTGCCCAGATGCAAGATGGAGCTCATAATGAGCATGACCTGTGTGGTGAGACGGTTCACTGTGCGCGCATCCGTCACCAGCTCCGCGTAGCGCAACGCCAGTTTGGTCAACGTGGCGGAGAGGGCGGCGCCAAAGAAGAAATCCCCATCCATCAAATATTGGCGGAGTGGTGGTCGCTTCTCCTTCTTGGTTACGCTGCGGGAAAAAGGGCGAACGATGAGGATGGCTGTTGGATATCTGATCCCATTCTGGGTACTTACGGTGCCAGGCTGTAGGCGCTTTGCGTGGCATAGGTGCCATCGGATGTGACCTTGTTACTGCTGTTTGTTGTCTGTTCACCACTGCCGGCTGTGCCCTGTTGTTGTTGCTGCTGCTGCAGCTGCTCCTCGGTCTGGTCGCCGGCGAGGCGACGCTGCTCGGCATCGACCATGGGTATTTCGCCGAGAGTCTGCTGTATGGCTGCAATAACCTCGGGAATCTGTTCACCTTCTACATACTCGCCCAGAATCCAGACGGCGGCACGATGGATCTTTGAGGATTTGATTTGTGGGAAGGCCTCGATCAAATGCTTGATAATAAGTCCGCGCAGAGCCGGGAACTTCTGTATGGCTTCGCGTATAAAGATCAGCACATCGACGGCGGCCAGTTCGTTGGTGTCGGATAGGAACTCCACCAGCACTGGGATGACACTGCTGGCCACATCCGGGAACTTGATGGAGCAGGTGTGGAGGGTGCGCACCAACAGCTGGCGATATTTGCCCGTGTCCTCGTGCTCAACG